TCATGGAGGTGCGTGTTCATGGAGGTGCGTGTTCATGGAGGTGCATGCTCATGGAGGTGTGTGTTCATGGAAGTGTGTGCTCATGGAGATGCGTGCTCATGGAGGTGCGGGTTCATGGAGGTGTGTGTTCATAGAGGTGCGTGTTCATGGAAGTGCGTGTTCATGGAGGTGCATGCTCATGGAGGTGCGTGTTCATGGAGGTGCGTGTTCATGGAGGTGCGTGTTCATGGAGGTGTGTGTCAGTGTCTTCGGAGGAGTCTTTACACCCCACCCAGCTGTCACCTCACTCAGGGCTTCAGTGTGATGGCTCTTGTCACCTTCCTCTGGGGCACCTCTTCCAGCATCCCTGGCTTAACCTCCTTTCAGTGATCCCTGGCTAGGAGGCTAAGAGCAGCGGAGACCCTACTGTGTTCAGTGAGCCAGTCCCTCACACCCCATTTCTAATGAGTGCTAAGCTGTCTGGAGATTGCTCCCTGAGCAAATGGCCCCAGGATGTCACCCCTGTGTGAGACCACACCACAGTATTTAGTGGAAAGCTTATGCGCCCACAATGGTGACTTCATTAGCTGCATTACAAATGTGTCCGTGGGGATGGTCTGGGGTCTTAAGAGTACTGGGGACTGACTAGATGGGATTCCACAGAAAAGCCAGAGGTACTAACCAGTCTGTGATGAGTCCGCACTGAACTCAGCCATCTGGGAGGCAGGGAGGGAACATAGAGTCAGGGAATGGCTCAGACATGTGCAGGTGCCAGGCTCCAAGGATGGCAGGCAGCTCTGACAAGCACTCACTGACCATGCCAATTTGTGTAGCTTCTAAGAGCCATCTTCTTGCACTTTAGGAAAAATGCACATTTATTACCATATGTAGGAAAGTAGACAGAAAAGAGTACCCCCTCCCCAGGCTCAAGCTAAAAGTTCGGTTGTGATATCAGTGGTCTGAGGGAAGCTATCAAAACAGAGTTTAAATTTGAAAAAGACAACAGTTAACTGTAACGATAATAACAAATATTGATGGAGTTTTCCCATCCAAGTGCCTCGCGGGGCCATTGTGGGGGCCCAGGCTCCTGGTGACGTCACAATGAAGAGGCAAAGACAGGTCAAGTTCCTGCTGTGATTGGAAGAAATGACATGCCAATATTTAATATGGCGGCACATATTATAATAAAATAGTAAGTGACCATCAGGCCTGGTGGTACAGTCCTGTGAGCCCTTCTACTTGGGAGGCTGAGGCAGGACGGTTTCAAGTTCAAGTCTTGTGTTTGGTTCAGTCTAGGCTGCATTGCTCTATAGCAGCACCACGTACTAAACCGAATTATTGATTCAAAGGCAGGTGAAGGAAATCGCTGGCGCCTCTTCCATTGGTTTTTGGAGGTTCTGTGCTTGCTCATGCCCTCCTCTCCCACATCATGATAGTTACAATTATTCTATGTCATCAGTGGCATCCTTTGAGATCTTCTCTGATCTATTTCAGAGCCCCATTCACTCTTCCCTGTCCCTCTTACAAAATCTCTTCACGTTGAAAACAGTGCAAATAGCTATCATTACGTTTTTGTTTCAGCTTGCCATTTAGTTGCTTAATGGATGTTATTCTGGTCTGAACTGACACATAGCACTATGCCTGTTCATGCTTATGGCGTAATGTTGGAATGCACATAAACAACGCACAATGATTGAACTGCAAGCTGCATCTCCATCTCCTCAGACCACCACCATCTTTGTGTTGGATGCTTTGGGCTCCTCTAGTTACTTTATTTTAAATAATGTGTGTGTGTGTGTGTGTGTGTGTGTGTGTGTGTGTGTGTGTGTGTGTGTGTGTGTGTGTCACTCTGTGCACATGAGTGCAGGTACCCACAGAGGCCAGAAGAGGGTATCTAATCCCTTAGAGCTGGAGTTACAAGCAGTGTTATGGGCTACCCAATGTGGATGATGAGAAGCCAGCGTGGACCTTCTCTAAAAGCAGTAGATGCTCTTAAGACTGAGCCCTCTCCTCATCCACACAGTCTAGTTGTTTTGAAGCACATTGATGTGGGCAGACACAGCTCAAGAGCCAGGGCTATCCCTAGGAACAGAAGCAGTTCTGATTGGACATTACTGGTGCGCTTGGGAAGGAGGGGCCTTAGTCCTCTGTGACACACTGAAGGGGTTACTTGTTGGGTAAAAATCTAGCTGAGGGACAGAGTGATGGCTCAGCACCGAAGAGTGCTTACTGCTCTTGCAAAGAACTAGGGTTCAGTTGCCATCCCCCACGTGGTGCCTCACACCTGCCTCTAGCTCCAGTTCTGGGAACTCTAGCACCCTCTTCTGGCCACTGTGGGCCCCTGCACACACGTGGTGCACATAAACTCATGCAGGCTCACACACATCCACTTGAAACAAAAATAAATAAATCTTTGAGAAAGGAATCTAGTTGAGAAATCTATTTGGGTTTTAATTTATTCTAAAACCTGCTGCTGTTTTCACATCTATTTTTTTATAATTTTTTTCAGACTGTGCATTCTGATTTGATTACTCTTTCTATTTTTGTTTTTTACTACCAAATGGTTTTCATTACTGAAGTTTGGTGTTTTAAGTCGTTAAAACATCTGTTGTACAAGTCCTCTCCTCATTACTCCTACTCAAAATCCTCCTTGCTTTTCGTGCATATTTAATTGTACAAAGGAGCCCAACACTCATCTTGTGAGTTTTTTCTTCTTTCTCCTTTTGAAAAAAAAAATCTTGTGACTCTTTGTGGAATTATTTAGGAGAAACTGGATTCCTATACCCCAGAAAGAGTGGCATATTCCCAGTGTTCAAGTATCTGTAGTTGTCAGTAAACTTCTGTGGTTCTTTTTGCATGGAGCTCGCAGGGGTTTTTTTGTTATTTCTAGCTGTTTAGGGCTGTGAGCAATTTTTTTTTCTGTGATTCTTTTCAATGACTGCTTTTTGCTATATGGGAAGACTTTTCAAGATTCACTCATTCACTGTGTGACAGGTCTCCTTTGTGAATTGTCTTCCTTCTTTTCATGACCTTGTGGATGGTATCCTCCCTGCAATTCCTTCTGTCTCACTTTCTAATCACGAGAAGACGTTCTGTGTTCCAGAAGACTCTCCTGTAACTATTGAAGTATTTCCCTTTTGATCTGGAGTTATGGTGCATCACACAAACGATGGATTATAGCAATGTCGTAAACATTCCACCATCCTTCTGCTCTGTGGTCATGGCATGTTATCCCTTTAATGTACATCTGGATTTCATCTGTGCACAAGGCTATCTGAATCCCAAACATCTGCTGAAGGATAACAACATCTCTGATCTCAGTGAGTTTCTCCCTCCAAGGGGCTTCTGCTTCTCCTCTCTCCTGTCACACTCACAGAGGGTACTCAGTTGGTCCTGAGATGACCTTCACTGCCACTCCCCACCATCAGCCCATTGAGATATGGACAGGGACAGTATCTCCCTAACAGGGACTTGGAGAGGCGGTGTGGAGGGGCAGGTTTTAGGGTTTCTTGAGGAAGATGCAGAGGGCCAGTGATCACCTGGAAGACACTGAACATTGTCTTGAGTTGGTGCAGTAAGGCTAACCCCAAGCCACTCTGAGGCTTGTGTCACTGAGAGGCATTTCCACACATGAGTCATAGAGGGCCTTTCTTTGCCGAATCTAGCCTCTTCTCTACAGAAGTTAAAACCAACTTCTAAAGACTATAAAAAAATCAGAGAGCTGTGGTGGTCACTCAAATGGTGAAGTGCCTGCTCTCCAAGCCTGAAGACCCGAGTTCAAGCTCCGTAACCTACATTAAAAGCCAGGCATGACAGCACACTTGTCAGTCCCATGCAGGTCCCCGGGCTTGGCTACTCAGTCAACCTTGTGAGTTGCAGGTCAGTCAAAGTAACTGTCTTAACAAAAGAAAAGGTTGACAGTACCCAAGGAACAACACCTGAGCTTGATCTATGTTTTATGCATACACACACACACACATACACACTCATGAATACATGTAAATAATACAAAAATTATCTTGATAAAGCAATCTGATGCTTTATTATCAGCCTCCAAAGGAGGACTCCCATGTCTGTTTGACTGAATCTGGAGCTGATTTAAAAGAAAAAGAACAATCTGGAAGCTGATGTCATGGACCTTGGCTTTTAGGTGCTCATCTAGCTCCTTGAAGCCTCATGGGAGGTGAATCCAGGTTTTCACCATTTCTCAGGAGTGCTGCTCCCGGGGGTCATCTTGCCCATGAGGTGCAGAGGAAATTGCTGTTCTGACAGGAAGGGCCTGGAAGTTTGGTGTTCCAGAGGAAGACATAAGACAGTGACACACGGGCTCTTTGAGGTGGAGAATGATAGCGCAAAGGCCAAGCTGTGATTGGCAGGCCCTGCCCATGTGCCTCAGAGGCAGGGACTGCAGGATGTCTTCACAAGGGCCTCGGGCCAAGTGGACACAAAAAAGTGATGCTCCAAGGCCGTGTCGCGGTCTGGACCCCTCTGCTGTTCCTAGTCTTTCTCAGGGCTGTGCAGAAACAAATGAAGGGTTGCAAATGGCCTCGTCTACCAGGTCCTGGCCTATGTGATCTGGAAAGCACAGAATGTGTCTCATTGAGTCTGAATGGCCAGTTCAGCCCAGGCACAGACCTTGTCCCCCGTGAGCCCCCAAAGTGAGGCCAGGAGGGAGGCACTCATGCTAACTTAACTTGCTGTGAGCATTGTATGCAATGCTCCCCCTCCATCCAGACAGCAATGTCTCTTGTATAAAACTTCGGGAAACCACATTTGACACATCCAAGTGGATGCAGTTGCTCTTGTCTGGGGTTTGGAGTTTTGAGCAGTCTGTCCATTTTGGAATAGGTGTGTGAAATTGTAAGACGCTCTTAGAATTAATGACTGGAGTAAAGATAGTTGTTCTGGCAGAAGGCAGAGAGCTGTGACTTCTGAAAGGTTCTTAGCTGGAGTGTCACTAATCTGGGGTGGTTCTGTAGTTCTGAGCCACTGCTGTGGCAGATGAGGTCCGTGTTTTTTGTAAATGGCAAAACCAGCTGAGGACGGGGAAGACAGTAACGACGGCAGGTGGAGCATTAGCCTCCCAGCAACCTGACCTATACTGGGAAGAAGTGCCAGGTGAGCTATGGATCCACAGTCCTGTTTGCTTTGTACCTAAAAGCTCTACTATGAAAACTAGATGAAAGGATCAGCCAGGCAGCCACTGGCATGCCTCACAGGAGCTTATGCATGCAGGCATTCAATAAGCATGGGTTTCTAACCTTTAAAGACTTCAGTGTGTTCAAAATGCACACTGCCCACATTGCCAACTACTTTGTAGTTAACCCAAAATGACAAGTCATCCAGTTAAACTCCTTGGAAATGGAGTGGAACTATCATAACACCACACATTTTGCTCTACTAATGTGGGACAGACCTGGGATAGATTGATAGACCAAATCCTAGCGTTAACACTTCAAATTGCCTACCCTTTCTGTGCCTCAGTTTCCCAATCTGTTTATCATAGATGATAAGATAACTTACAGAGTTATTTGCATATTAAATTAATCAGCATAAATAGGCTGCCTAGAATAGCGTCCTGTAGGGACTGGGACTGTAGCCAGATGGTAGAGGGCTTGCCTATTGTGTATGAAGCCCCATGTTGGATCTGAAGCACCACATAAGCCAGGTGTTTGTGGCTTATGCCAGCAATCCATTCCTGAGAGATGGAGGCAGGAGAGTGAATAGTTCAAGATCATCCTCAGCTACGTAGTGAGCTGGAGGTGCTTGGACTGTAGGAGAGCTCAAACAGATGAAAAAATCAGTGCCTTGCATATTGAAAGTGTTTTCTATTTTATAGCTTTGGTGTTTTGGTAACTCAAAAGCCATTACCATAAAGAGTTATGGATAGAACGTAAAATCGACATTTTAGTAATTATGTGCAGCACTCAGACTTCTTACGTGGTGCTTGGAAAGTGGAAGGGCAGGAGAAGCAAGCCCAGCTGAGATGCTGGAGAAGCCACTGCCAGTGACAGATCCACTTCTCCCTGGAGTCATGAGTTATGTGGTGAGACTGTGCCCAAAGTATGAGTTCGAGCCTCGTTATTTCCACTTAGCATATCAAATTTTTCCAAAGTACAAAAATTATTTGTAAACCTGATTTCAGTGGCTGCATAATGAAATCACACTTATCATCTATAACCAGGGGGCCTGTTCTCGGTGTTGAATGTAGAGATGGTTCTTTTCTCTTAGGTAAGGGGCACAGGTGTCTCTCATCTGCAGCATGTGAGGAGCCATGTGCGTGCATCCATGTCTGTATAGATTTATCACTCTCTCCTTATCCCTAGCTTGAACTTCCAGGAGTGAAGTCAGTGGGTCAAAATGATGAACCTTTTTAAGGCTGCTTAAAAACAAACAAACAAACAAACAAACAAACAAACAAATGAAATGAAAAACTTTTAAGTCGAGCTAAACATGTTCTAGGTTAGTAATCAGCCACCACATCCTCTCCCAACCACTATCCTGCTATTGCTGCATTCAATATGGGAAGAGAAGCAGAGATCAGAGTGAGTTTCTCTGGGCTCAGCAAAATTCAAAGAAATGGAAAAATGTTCTTTTGGTTTGAAAATTGAGAGCCTGTGTCTCCATTAAGAGACAATTTTTCTTTGGAAATGTGCTTTTCAGATTCTTCTGGGCTGTGGTGTTGTATATTTCATGGCGCTCACGGTTCCTATAACTCTGTGGTGTCTGGCAGAAACTTCCATTAGGCTTATCAAGAGTTTGAAGAGGGTGTGAGTTCCTGCCTGGTTAGTTCCCACAATGCAGCTGTTGAACACTGCCTCATCCAAAGGGACATATACTTACCCAAATGAAACACGATCCCTAGTGGCTTGCTCAGATGAAGCACTCGTATGACGTTTCTAAACTGTGGATGAACTCAAAAAACCGCCGCCTGGTTCTCAGCTCCATTAACTCCAACTGCGGAGGAGAGAGCTGAGCACCGCCAATAGACTGGCTTGTAGTCTTCACAGTCAACGAGACAGAGCTGTTCCTTGGGTGGAGAGAGACAGCTCTTTCTCATCTTGGTTTCCAGAAATTGTGCATCTGTTAATTTCCACATGTTTACTGTAAGGAAATGTATCGGCTCAGGGCCCTCCAGACCAAATTCTCAGCACAAAGGAGATTTATTTGCCCCAGAGGGACAGAGGGCAGGGAATAAGAAACAAAGACAGGAGATGGAGGACAAGGGAGAGGGGGAAGGGACATTTGTCTATAGGACAAAGGACCGCCTCTGTCTAGAGGAGAGACAGGTGTGGCACACAGGCAAATGGTGGCTTATAAAGGTGAAGGGGAACCCATGTTAGGAGGAGGTGTTTGATTTTAATTGGGCATGTTAATTCGGTGAGCCAAAGGGAGATTTTGATTGCTCGACTTTGGTAGTCAGCCTCAGGAAGAGGGATTGGCCTAATAAGGGAGTGGACCTTGCGGACAATAGTTTAGAAATTACTAGGAAAAAATAGGGGACTGTATTTAGGAATGTAAAGGCAGAGGGAATTGGGGTCAAAGGTGAGGCCTGCCAGAGTCATATGCTTGAGTGGCCTAAAGTCCCTTCATTTGCGGTTCACAAAAAGTCAGATCTGCCCTTCTTGACACACCATAGGGCAATCCTCAACATTTCTTTCCAAATATCATTGTGTATGTCTCTAACTGGGATCTGTATAGCTCACAGATGACAGTCCTTGGTGACAGCCTTTCCTAGAGTCCCTCTCCCCTTCTCCTGCCGAAGCTTGCTCCCCAGCCTTCCCTGACCCAAGGGGCAGGCATCCTAGGGGCAACCATTTTGTCAGAGGCTCCTGAGAAATGCTAAAAAGCTTTCTCCAGACTGTTTCAATTAGACACATAAGGGGGATAAAACATTCCCGAGGGAGTCAGCATCCCTGGCCACTTGGCAGCTAGCACAATCACAGATTGATGAGCAAAGGGTATCATCGAAAGGTTTGGAAATCAAGGCCATTTTGAAGTTCACTGGACATTTTTCTTGTGTGATCAGAAACAAAAAAAAAGAAAAGAGAACCAAAGCCAGATCAGCACTGAGGCCAGCAGGTGGCTTGGGCCAAGTTGTCCTGGCTGTGGTATCAGCATGGATCCCTCTGATCTGCCTGGCCTAGGCCACCCTGGATGGCTGCTGCCCAGGAGCGTTACCCCCGTAGGCAAATGGGGTGATGGATAATGCATGTCTCTCAGCCGCGTCTCCCCTCTCCCCCGCCAGCTACACGGTGGGCACCGTGCAGGAGAACAACGATCAGGTCTGGAAGTTCCAGCGGTACTTTCTGGTCCAGGAGTACTGCAACCGCCTCAACATCCCCTTCCCCTTCGTCGTCCTCGCTTACTTCTACATGGTGGTGAAGAAGTGCTTCAAATGCTGCTGTAAGGAGAAGAACATGGAGTCTTCCGCCTGCTGTGAGTGGGGTCCCTGGCCGGGGCTCGGGTTCTGGAGCTGTGGTTCATTCCAAGGGATGTGTGGTCTGAGTCACTACAATCGGTTCACTGTGTGTCTCTGCAGATCGGGGTCAGGCCAGCCAGTGCATGCCTCAAGAGTCAGGGTAGGTTGGGAAGTACTCCAGGGCTGCTGGGCACGACTTGGGGACGGACACAATAGTAACAACATAAATAAGGTATTACCCTAGTAGGATTCATGGATAGTGTGAAACCAGGACTTTGGTTTTGGGATTTTACTTTATTTTATTTTTGCCACCTACTACTTCTTGAAGTTATTTTTTGGGAGGTTTAGCTAGACTTTGAACAGGGTGAAGTACTTTTGGGGTTGCTTTCTATCACTATAACGAAACACCTCAGGTAATTAACTTATAAAGAACAGTGGTTCACTTGGCTCAGTGCTGGAGATTCCAGTTCAAGACTGGGTGGCTCCATTGCCTTGGGCCTGGCAGAGAAGGTGTGCCAGAGCAGATCACTTATATCAGTAGCCAGGAAACGGGGTGACTCAGAAATGGGTTTCAATATCACCTTTCAGAGCCCGCTGGGTCCTTCCTCTTGAAGGTGCCACCACCCCACAGTGCCATCTTGGAGGGCAACCTTTAACACATGGGAATTTTGGGGGAACTCATTCAACTGGTGTCACCCTACTTCTGGTCCCCAAATCATCATGTCTGTCTCACAATGCAAAAGACATTTATTTCATTCTTACGGTCCCTGGAATCTTAACTATTATTCCAGTATTGTTCAAGCATCTAAACTTAAAGGCTCATCTAAGACTTCACGAAACCTCAGATGTGAGCCTCTTCCAGTGTTGAAGGTACATACTTCTAAGGTCCAGTGATGGGGGCAGACGCAGGTAAACATTTCTACCCCAGAAAGGAAGGATAAGGGATAGAAAGGAGACAGCAGCCCAGGGCAGACGAAAACCCAGAAGGGCTAGTTTCAAATCCTAAAGCTCCGTGCCTAGCATCTGGGGAACACTGAAGCAGAGAGTGACCCCCCCCCCAAAGGGCTGCCCTGCCCCTGTCAATTCACTGGTTACAGTCCACAGGGCGACTCTCCAGAGAAGGTTTTGTTTGCTGCCCGCTGCCTACAGCACACCTTTGGCACCTCTGCATTCCTGGGTCTCCATTACAGTACCTCTCTTCACAACATCCTTTGACAATGGTAGACGGTGTGTGGTATTCTGGTCATTTTTGCCCCACGGTATGTGAGGAAATGGATGTGAACTTCCACTACCAGATTTACACATCATGTTGGGATGACCATTTCTCTTTGGTGGAATTCCAAACATTACGATTCAGGAAGTTAAAATATCACTTTCCCAGATATGAAAATTGGTGGCAATATGACAAATTTGAAGCAGAAATAGCCATCATTTTTGTGGGATCCTTCACATCAAACTGGGAGTAAGATATTCATGGCTGACCTTCAGTCCCATCCCAAGACTTGACCTACAGCCTGGTTTTCAGAATATAAATGCACCCCCAGTTTTCAATCAGCCTGCAACAGGAAGGCTCTTCATACTCAACTTTAACGGTGTCACCCACCTTGGGGGTGTCATTAATGTCATTAACCAGTACACAAGCGTAATTGTCTGTCTTGATGAAAATATTTTGACAGCTTGGATAAGTGGCTGTCTTTCTCCCCACTATTTTGCCTTGGAAAATGAATTGAGCCCTGACTGACTAAAGGAGTGGAAGTCTTCATGTTCAGGATGGGAACTGTAAATGCAGATCTAGAAATCTGAATGTCCTCAAAACCCACATCCAAAGAGCAGAGGCATTTAGTGGCATGCCCAGGTCTATATTTGATTCCTTCTTAATATTGTGTAGATGAGTATCTCCAGGATCTGGGAGAAGACTGAGGGGCAAATCAATGCCTTAGGAGGGCTTACACATCTCTTTGTTTTTTGAACAATGAATAAAAGTTATAATGAGGAAGAGAACCTGGGGAGGAGGATCCATTGACAAAAGCCTTACCTCCCAAGTGCGAGCACTTGGGTTCAAATCTCTGGCCCACAGGGAAAAGGCCAGACATGGTGGTGTGTGTCTGTTATTCCAATGCTGGGGAGGCAGAGACAGGAGGATTTCTACAGCTTGCTCTCTAGCCACTCTAACCCATCCGTGGGCCCCGAGTTTACTGAGGGGCACTGCCCCAAAGAAAAAACTAGACAGTGGTTGAGGAAAACGCCTAATGCTTGCCCTTTGGTCTCTACACACATGTATATACTTGTGCATGCACACAGGTACACAGGCTATGTACACATGAACATGCACACACACACACACACACACACGTAGATACACATACATGTACACACATACATACACACACGTATCTTTTTTAATGAGGATGGTTTTGACTCAGTATAAAGACAAAAGCAGAGTCTAGCTAACATTCAGTATTTTCTGAAACTGGAATGAATGTTCTAGAGAACTGCCCATCACTCTGACTCAGGCTGGGCATGGACTGACGGGCACTGGGTGAGGTAAAGGTCCATCCTCTCAGGATCTAATGCACTCAGCCTGGCATCAGCAGAACCAGGGAACTCAGTGTCAGGAAGGCAGATCAGCTCCTGGCTTCAGGCTTGGAGGAGGACAAAATGTATCTCATCGAGGCAAGATAAGAACATTAACTGTAAACAGAACCCCCTGGCCTAGCCAGGAGGAAGGAGTTTCAGCTTAAGGAAGCAAACAGGTATGTCAGAAATGTCTGTTATTTATCCTTCTCCCTAGGGAGACACTGGGAGAGAGACGCTCTCTGGACAGTTGGAAGAAGCTATGGCACCTGTCCTCTCCTAACAGATCTTACTCTCAGGAGGACACAAAGAAACAGAAGGCCAGGCCCTCTCTCCCTAGTGGTGGTGGTTGATTGGGAGGGAGCCAGAGCCCAGTTCCCTCAAGGGAGACTCTCCAGCTCACTTGCCGCCTCTTGGAGAGGGTTCATTCCAGAAACCACAGCACTCTGCCTGGCCCAGGGACTCCAGCAGGCAGCTCATTCCCTAAGTGCATTCTGTGTTTGCCTCCAAATGGAGGGGAGGTTATTAATTTTGAAAATGCCCTTCTTTGGAGGAAAAACTACAAGATTTTTTGTTTTTATTTCAAATAATGCTCAGAAAGTCAGACTCCAAACTTCCTTCCTTCCTCCCCCCCCCCCCGGTTTGGCAATATCTTCAAGTCAGAAAAAGTATGCTGCTTGCTAATTGCACTTTTAGAAACCATGTTGTTTCTTTTCTGATTTGGAAGGCAATATATAGTCTTTATAGAACATTTGAAAAATACAGAAAAATACAAGTAAGGATATGCCCACCATCCAGAGGTAAATATCAACAACTGTCATTGATTTCTGTGGGAATGTATATTGCCTGGACTGTCGTATGCATATATATCCACAAAATAATTGGTGCATTTATATAGCTGATGATATACCGTAAACATGTTTAATATCTATAAACAATATGTATGCTAAGAATTTTAACTAGGAAATAGTCTAGTGTATGGGTGTACCATAACTAATTTGACCAAGCCCTTATTGTTAAAAGTATAGTTTGGCTAGGCTCTTATTTCTAACTTTTGATTGTGCGTGCATGCGTGCATGCGTGTGTGTGTGTGTGTGTCTGTCTGTCTGTCTGTCTCCATGTGAGCTTGTGTAGATAGGTGCAGGTGCCTGCAGAAGGCAAGGCACTGGAGTCCCCCTGGAGCTAGAGTGATAGGTGGCTGTGAGCTGCCCAACGTGGGTACTTGGAACTGAACTCAGGTCCTCTGGAAGAGCAGCTCACATTCACAACCACTGAGTCATCTCTCCAGCACCTGGTTTGATTCTTAGTAATATATGATGTCATGATAAAAAGTGATATATGTGAATTTGAGCACATGAATCATCTTAATGTTAATTCTAGAAGAGAAATGTCTAGACAAAGACTATGCGTTATCTCCAATTCTTTGGGTAATGTCTCCCACAGCCTTCTCATCCTCTATTAAGTTGTAGCAGTAGATAGATTTTTCCTATAAGATGGGTGGGTGCTTCTGCACATTTTTGTTGGCACATGTATGTACTTTAGAGCCTGCTAGTTTTTCAGTCCAGTTGGTGAAAAGGTTAGGCCGCCATTTCAGCTGGCCTCTCCCTGGCTGCTAAGGAAGCAGGCCATTTTTCTTGGCTGTTTGTTGTTTCTCTTCTGACTGCCTGTGTCCAGGAGTTTCAATCTTGTATTGTTGAGCTCTAAGATTTAGTCTGAAGGAAAGACATTGGAAACTACTTCAAAATGCACTTGAAAGGAAATTGGTTAGGAACTGTTTTGAAAAGTAACAACAGCCATTTAAAGATAAAGGCATGTTTGCTGTATGTAATTTTCTCGAATCTAGTCACTCACATATTACTTTAATCCCCAATTAACTTTTTTCAGTCCAGTAAGGCATTAGAGTTTATAGACTTTAACATGAGAATGCACACATTTAAATGATAAGTTAAGGGTAAAACCCACACAAATTACCAGGTATGGTGGTGCTTGCCTTTAATCCCAGCACTCAGGAGGCAGAGGCAGGTGGATCTCTGTGAGTTGGAGGCCAGCCTGGTCTACAGAGTGAGTTCCAGGACAGTTAGGACTATCACACAGAGAAACCCTGTCTTGAAAAAATAAAACAACAATCAAACAAACAAACCACAAATCCATTCCAAGTGGCCCCTACACAAACATCTCTTGTCCCCGAGAATTTCTGGGGTTTAGTGTCCATTGCAAACATTAATCGTCTTAATGATGTGGTTTTTTGTTTGGTCTCCATCTGGAAGGCCAGACACCGTAAGAAATTGAAGTAAGAATCTCCTGGAACAGGTCCCAGGCCAGTCTGTACAGTTCGCTCTGACTTAGAGGAAAGGGGAAGATTAGCGGTAAGGCTTTCTTCATGACCCACTCCCAGACTGCCTGCTTCGGAGTGAACCAATGTCGTAAGATTGCTCTCCTCTAAAGACCTCCTGATTTTATACTGAGAGTTGGGAAACCTGCAGTAAGTATCCAACTGTTTAGTGTTTCCATGTCATCAGAACAAAGGGGTAGGACTCACCAAATGTGGGCACCCAAATCATCAGTGGAGTGATCGAAGACGAGGTTCAAATGGATCTCTATTTAGAATAAAGATCACATTCTTAGTTCACACAGCAGCTCCCACCCTCATTCTTAATGAGAAATCCATTCATATCCCATCTCTCTGCTTCGTCACTAGTAAAAAACGGTAGTCAGATCTGCCTGTGCAGACAAATCTAATTGTCTTAATTCCAGAGTCTCTCGGATGCCTGGAAGGCATTGGTTCGGGAAATGGGGGCAGACAGACAACCTGAACAGTTTCCTTTTCTCATTATTTCAGGTTTCCGAAATGAGGACAACGAGACTTTGGCGTGGGAGGGCGTCATGAAGGAGAATTACCTCGTCAAGATCAACACGAAAGCCAACGACAGCTCAGAGGAGTATGTCAGTCACTCACTTTTGTGGCAAGGCACCTTTTGTATATGTGAACTGGAAGGACAGGGGCAGCTTATCTGATCATGCTCAGTAAGACGTGTTTTCACTGGAGAGTGAGAGCGCCTCAAAAATACTACTGAGGCGATTGTAGATGACAAATACTTAGACATATGAAACCCCTCAACACAGGGAGAAATCAAACCTCAGTTAATCTGATTGTTTCCCTAAAGAGCATGGGACAGAAAGGGGTGCTTGGAGGCTTCATCTTTCTCTTGGGACAGTGAGACATCCTGTGTTCAAGGTGCTGAGATCTTGAATGTAGAAGGATAGACATTTTTGGTTGTGAGCTCAGCCTTTAATGGTGCACACCTTTAATCACAGTACTTGGGAGGTAGAGGCAGGCAGATCTCTGAGTTCAAAGCCAACCTGGTCTACAGAGCGAGTTCCAAGACAGCCAAGGCTACACAGAGAAACTCTGCCTTCCAAACAAACAAAAAGAAGATGAGGAGGAAGAAGAAGGATAGATAGTGGCATCCACAGAACCCAGAAACAGGAGCCACAGCTGCAGAAATGAGCCCCAGGAAGCCTCGGAGGTCATGGGTCCCTGCATTATCTTGAGGAGCCCCTGGTGCATTGGTCTGCAGTGCTGAACGACACAGGCAGAGGAGGCTGTTGCAAGCTATCTCCAGAAAGTGCTGACTATCATTTTTCAATTGTGGGGGGCTTTTTATAAATCCCCATATGACCCCCCAAGTCATTCAGTTTCTTGAAGAAGTAGGGATGTCAGCCAAGTCTGCAGATGGTATATATGGTAGTATGTTAGGGGGTCTTTGAAAGCCTGCTCCTCCTAAGGTTGGCTTCCTCAGTGACAGCTGTCACTTTTTCTAAGTGCTCAAACATATCTCAAAATGTACTCTAACCAGTAGGAGTAAATATGAGTACAACTAATCTCTTTGTTAGAATCAACCCAGCGACTGAGGGGTACAGGATGCTCTTTCTCTAGAGACAGCATGGATGCCTGTATTCTAGACTCCTGTGTTCTGGATGTGGAGGAAGGCAGATCTTCTGAGTCAACTTTTACCACCCTGTCATCAGGCTTTTCTGTCTTTCTAATTGGGGTGAGAAAGGAATTCTGCTTTGCTTGGGGATGAGGAAGAAAATCAGAGAGATCAATGCAGCTGCCCCTGGCCTGAGCCCAAACTGAGGAGTGTACATAATCTGTCTTCTGTCCTTTGAAAGATGAAAAGAGGGCCGAAGAGCCTCCCTCAGACTCTCTCTCTTAGTTTATTTTCTAATTTCCTTGCAGGATGAGGCATCGGTTTAGACAACTGGATACAAAGGTATGGCTCAGAGTTCCAGAATGATTTGTCTGTGATATCTTGGAGTGTTCAGCCACAGGCTAGTGTATAAAGTCAGACAGCAAAAGAAGACATGCATTGTTAAAAAATTAGACATGGTTCTGCTCAGCTGTCTGCATGGTTCACCTAAGAGCTGGAGCCTGGAGCAGAATTGCTTCTTAAGCTCTCAGCCCTCATGCAGAATAGCCCAGAAATGCCACTTCCAGTAGATTTGACTGTCAACTTGACACAATCTAAAATCACCTTGGAATTGGGGTCTCAGTGACTATCTAGATCAGTTGGTCCTATGGGCACGTCTGTGAGGGATTGTCTTAATTACATTAGTGAACAAAGGAAGACCCAGCCCACTGTGGGTGGCACCATTCCCCTGGTTTGGGTTCTAGACTGTATAAGAATAGAAAAAAATGAGCTGAGTTTATATATTCAGGCACTCACTTCTCCCTGCTCTCACTGTGGATGTGATGTGATGAGCTCCCTCAAGCTTCTGCCACTGTGAATATATTTAAGGTATACAGTTGGATGTTTTGACACATGTGTACATCACAAAATGATCACCACAATCCAGTGTTTGAAGCCCTAGCCACACAGTGCAGTGCCTCCTGCATCCCATGGGCTGCCTTGCTGCCTCTACCTCCCTTTCTGTCTCCTTCTCTGTCCTCTTTCTTCCCACTCCAAACAACCAAAATTCCCTCCTTTCCATTCATAGAATTTTGGGGACCATGTTCTGAGCTTTTGTTTCTAGAGCAAGCAATTAGAATATTTTTTTTCCTTTTAAATTGACTTTATTTCTAAACAGCTCCATTGAGATATCATTGACATAAATTCAATAATATTTGAGGTATACAGTTGAATATTTTGATTCATGTATACATTGCAAAATTATCACCACAATCTAGTCCAGCTAATTTACATACTTAAACCGTTACTATCTGCATGTGTCCTAGGACTCAATTTAGACCTGTGATCCCAGCACATCTCATGTATATAGGTAATATTAATGTCTAGGTGGATATTAACACATGAATACAATATAATAGTAATCATTCTCACCTCAGTGTACAGTAGATCCATTGGTATATTCCTCCCTTCCCTAAACCTTTTGCCTCTTTTAGGCTGTACATGCGAGTGAGATCATATGGGAGGGGGTTACCTGTCTGTGCCTCGCTTATTTCACTCAGGCCAGTGTCATCTTGACCATCTGTGTTCCTGCAGATGGTAGAATTTCCTTCCTTTCTTCAAGGTGAAATTGTTCTCCACTGTGTCCATGAACCACATTTTACTTGGGTTATTTCTGGGTCTTTGACTAGTGCTGCAGTGAACAGGACAACATAGGATGTCATCCTCCTGACATCAGCTCTTTAGCTGTGTACCAGGAGTGGGGTAGCTAGGTTTTTCTTTTTCTTTTTCTTTTCTTTCTTTTTTTTTTTTTTTTTGGCTAGGTTCTTTTTAATGTTTTGAGGAACTTCTATATTGTTTTCTGTAACAGAAATACCAATTTTACCAAATTTATTCTATTTTTTTCCCCAGGAAAAGTTTTTGGTGGAGTCTTTGTTACAAGATACTATTTAATACCCTATGCAAACAGATCTAGATAGTATTTATTTCCTTTTCTTACCTGATCACGTGGACTATGGCTCCTGACACCATTTAGAATAACAGTGGTGAGAGTGAGCAGTTTTGTCTTAAGATATTAGAGATGATGGAATATTGAGTATGGTGATAGTATTCTTTCTTCATAGTCTTTGTTGTGTCTACGTAAGTCTTTATTTTCTTGAGTTTCTATTGTAAAAGAAATCTGGAGTTTTGTGCTGATTTTTCTGCATCTGGTGTATGGATCATGTTGCCTCTGTTTTCCATTTTATTCATTTAGTTTACTGCACCCATTGGTTTTCATATGCTCAATCATTCCTTCTGTTTGTTTGGATGGTTTTCAAGACAGGGTTTCTGTCTTGTGTAGCCCAGGCTGTCCCGGGACTTACTCTGTAGATCAGGCTGGCTTTGAACTCATAGAGAGCCACCTGCCTTTGCCTCCTGAGTGCTGGGATTAGAGGCATGCAACACTACCACCTGGCATGCAGAACCATCCTTATATCCCAGGGACAAATTGCATTTAGTTGTGGTGTATGGTCATTTTCATGTTCTTGAATTGATGTTCCCCATTATTGATGTTTTTGCATCTTTATTCACTGGGATGTTGGCCTGTAGTTTTCTCTTCTGTCTTTATTAGTCTTTGGGACCAGGGTAATCTTGGCCTCATGCATGGAGCCTGGAAGCAGTCCCTCTTCTATTTTGTGGAAGGGTCTAAATAGGATTGGTGTTTGCTCACCTTTAAATGTTGGATGGCATTCACTCATGAGGCCACCTCTCTGTTCCTGAGCTTTTCTCCATTAGGAACATTTGACGTTGATTCTTCTTATTTGCTACTAGTTTGTTTGAGCTTCATAGTCTTTAAAAATAGTTATTACATTTTCATTGTGTGTGTGTGTGTGTGTGTGTGTGTGTGTGTGTGTGTGTGTGTGCGCGCGCGCGCGCGCGCATGTGTATGCCACACTGTGGGTGCAGAGGTCATAGAACAACTCTTATGATTTGGTTCTCTCCTTCAACTGTGTAGGCCTGGGGGATCGAACTCAGGTCACCAGCCTTAGTGGTAGGTGCCTTTACCTGCTGAGCCATCTCGTAAGCCCTGGGTTCTGTATTCTTGATTCAGTCTCGTTAGGCTGTATGTATTTAGAGAAGGCCCTGTCTAAGTGAGTTTCTAGTACCATAGTGGCTTGCAACCTGCCCTCATGGGGAATGAGAGCTGGATGGAAGTGCTTATTTCATGGGACACCTGTTTTATCTGGCATGTGGTCTAATGACCTGTGGCCAGCCTGTCCCTGGAGCAGGAGTTTTGTATGGACTTGCAGGTGCCTTTGTGGCCCTTGGCTAGTCAGGTGCAGTTTATACCTGTCTGCCCATCACTCTAGTCACTGGAGTTCTGTGACTGAGTTCTGGAGCACTGTGTTCTCCCCACATCTGAGGAAAAACCAGGCCCGAGCAGTCCCTGGCTCTTTAAGTCAGCATGTGACTACAACAGAAACAGCTTTGATTGCAGTCCAGCTAGAGGTTTGTTGGTTTATCTTTTCACAGAACTAACTCTTAGTTTTGCTTATTTTCTTTTTGTTTCTCTGTGTCACTTATTTTACTCTGAGAGTCTTGTGCTCTCCTCGAGGTGGCTTATTAATACCATCTTACTAGTGACAAAGTCCCCTGGGGGGAGCAAAAGCCTTTCCATCTCATTATAACTGAAAACAAAGTTAGTCACAGCTGACCTGAAGCCTGGAGGTGGCTTCTCACTGAGGCCATCACGTGTTAGCCATCTCGGGCTCTCTTGTTCTATTTTTTAAATTAAAGGAAGAGGTTCTCACTGGAAACAGGCCACATATCTGTCGTGTAGTGTGTCCCCCGCCTCGCGTGCAAGTAAGTCACCCAGCAAGCTAGGAGCCAACTATAGAGAAATCAGAACCTGTCCATTCACATATATAAAGTACATCAAGGTGGCCCATGACTTAAAATGAGGCCACAGACCTCATATGATATGCAGAATAATCTTAAGAATCATTTATGTAAGTTATATTTTGGAGTTTACTGTGTGTGTTTGTGTGTGTTAGGAAGCATACAGTCATATCTTGCTAGTATCTTTATAATTTTTAGTAGTGTTGTATTTTTGTATAGCAAAACTTCATTAGTATCTTATTAGTAACATCTTGCATACATTTCCATACATTACTTCTGTGCTGTCATAGTTTCGTGGGTCTAGGAGGAAAGAAACCCTTTTTGACTTGCATTTCATGGAGCTGATGTTGGTATTTTTGCTAACTGCTGACCGTAAGTAAGCAGTAAGCAGGGTCTGCCCTGTCTTCCTGTGTCTCATTTACTGGTTAGTGTGCTTGGCATTTAAAATGGAATGCTGGAAATCTGTCTTAAAACCAAGTTCTGTTTCTGTTTCTCCCCTCTTCCCAAGCTTAACGATCTCAAAGGTCTTCTGAAAGAGATTGCTAATAAAATCAAATAAGGCCGGTGAATGCTCATGGAGAGAAACCAGATTACAACAAGGTGAGCTGGCTGATGTCTTTTTTCTTTGCTCTGAAAATTTCAATGTTTTAAGGCTATTTTAAAGTTGTAGTAGTCTTCTCATTTTTTATTTTCGTATGTTATCAGCTTTGACGATAAAACATCGTACAAACAAACCAAATAAGTCACCGTCTAGAGACGGTGGAGTGGAAGTTCCTTCTCACGTCCCTCCCTGATGGCGGCTCCAGGGCACAGTTCCCTACAGCGTCTGTGTAACCTTTGCCAGCCTTCCAGCCAGTTTCACATATCGAAATGAGGCCATACTGACCTAATATTTGCTATTTTTTTCTTCCTTAATACTTCATCATGGATGTTTTTGTGGAAACATGCCTAAAATGTCCCTTATTCTTACGGTTTCTTATGTCTACTGCTGTGGGGTAGGTAGATGTATGCTGATTCCCTTTTCGTTAACTGAAAAGGCTCCAGGAGGCAAGGGAGGGTTTTAACAACAGCTCATTTGCACAATAATGTGTAATTCAATTAATTGGCACCATGGACTCAAGGCTTTGCTCCAGCATCTCGCCATTTGTTTTAACCGTATTTTCCCAGAACCTGTCCAAATCCTGAGACCAAATGTTGAAAATTTTCGGAGCATGGGGAGGTGGGGAGAGAGGCGCACAGTTATGGGCATTCTACTGGTCTACAAGTAAACTGTAAGGGATAGAAACACAGGGAAGAATTCCCTTCTCCGTTGGTATTGGCAGTGTGGCAGAAGGGTTAGGGCCATGGTGTGCTGGCCTCTTGCACTGACCTCTTCCTCTGGTCCCTATTGCTGACCCCTCACATCGATGTCGAGCACTGACGACCCCTCATTCTGACCCCTTGCACTGACCCCTCACGCTGGCCCCTTGCACTGACCCCTCACACTGACCCCTCACACTGACCCTTTGCACTGACCCCTCACGCTGACCCCTCGCACTGACCCCTCATGCTGACCTCTTGCACTGACCCCTCACGCTGACCCCTCACACTGACCCCTCACGCTGACCCCTCACGCTGACCCCTTGCACTGACCCCTCATTCTGACCCCTTGCACTGACGCCTCACGCTGACCCCTTGCACTGACCCATCACGCTGGCCCCTTGCACTGACTCCTCATGCTGACCTTTGCACTGACCCCTCACGCTGACTCCTCACGCTGACCTCTTGCACTGACCCCTCACGCTGACCTTTGCACTGACCCCTCACACTGACTCCTTGCACTGACCCCTCATGCTGGCCACTTGCACTGACCCCTCACGCTGACCACTTGCACTGACCCCTCACGCTGACCACTTGCACTGACCCCTCACACTGACCCCTCATGCTGACCCCTCACGCTGACCCCTCACGCTGGCCACTTGCACTGACCCCTCACGCTGACCCCTCGCACTGACCCCTCACGCTGACCACTTGCACTGACCCCTCATGCTGACCACTTGCACTGACCCCTCATGCTGACCACTTGCACTGACCCCTTGCACTGACCCCTCACGCTGACCACTTGCACTGACCCCTCACACTGACCCCTCACGCTGACCACTTTCACTGACCCCTCACGCTGACCCCTCACGCTGACCCCTCACACTGACCCCTTGCACTGACCCCTCACGCTGACCACTTGCACTGACCCCTAACGCTGACCCCTCGCACTGACCCCTCACACTGACACCTCACGCTGACCCCTTGCACTGACCCCTCACGCTGACCACTTGCACTGACCCCTCACGCTGACCACTTGCACTGACCCCTCACACTGACCCCTCGCACTGACCCCTCACGCTGACCACTTGCACTGACCCCTCATGCTGACCCCTCATGCTGACCCCTCACGCTGACCCCTCACGCTGACCCCTCACGCTGACCCCTCACGCTGACCCCTCACGCTGACCCCTTGCACTGACCCCTCACGCTGACCACTTGCGCTGACCCCTCACGCTGACCCTTGCACTGACGTCTCACGCTGACCCTTGCACTGACCCCTCATGCTGACCCCTCACGCTGACCCTTGCACTGACCCCTCACGCTGACCCCTTGCGCTGTCTCCCACTGGCCCCTGAGCTCATCCCTTGTGCTGTTCTTTGGCACTGGCCTCCTGCGCTGCCCTTTGCGCTGACCCTTACCTGCAGGAAGTACCTGGACTGCAGTTTCCCTCTGCAGAGCGGTCATGCTGCAGGGAAACGCTGGGGTCTTTGGCCGTTCATCCGTGTTCTCTGAGCCCTGGCTGTCCCAGCTCGTATCTATCTACAGCCCTCCCTCCATGGAAGACTCACACCGGATAGAATCTGAGGCTGAGTGGCACTTCCTGAATGTGCTGAAGAATCCAGCCTTGAGCGCTCAGGAGGAGCCCATTTCAACACCTTCACAATGATGCTTAATTTAAAAAATTAAAGTTTAAAATAAACTGCACTTTAGATTTTGAAACTGTTTTTCTTAATGTATGAACTGGAAAAATACAGGAAGGAACAGACAGAAAAATTCAAATGATAAAAAATAAATCTAAATGTGACTAAAGAGTTGAAATAATCACAAAGGATTCAAATCCATACTAGTTCACTCGCCCAGAAAGCTCTGATCTCTCCCTTTCAGAGTTTTGACTGGGAGATGGACAAACAGACTGGCCTCTGACCCACCTACCCTGCTCTTAGCTTTGGCCTTAGTTAATACGTGCAGAGTTAATGAAAGGCTGAATAAAAATGACTTTCAGGGTGTAATATTTACTCTTACATGTATGCACCATGTACTGTGTGTACACAGTGTGTACACCATGTATGTGCATGTGAAAAAGAAAGACAGGATGGAGAGAGAATCTAAGAAAACAAGTATGAAAGCCAGGTGTGGCCGTGGCACTGGTGGAGGCATCTCCATCACCAGGGAGGCCGAGACAGGCGAATCTTTGTGTTTGCTGGCCGACCAAATCAGAGAGCTGTAGTCTGTGAGCTGTGAGACATGGTCTCCAAAGGTGGGCAGCATCTGAGGAACTACACCGGAGACTGTCCTCTAAGTTCCACATGCAGAGGCACACACACACTAACACACACTAACATACACACTAACACACCTAACACATAGACTGGTATACTAACATATATTAACACATACTAGTACAGTAACATTCACTGACACATACACAGCCATATATGCTGATACACCTACCGAGACACACCAACATACATGCACACACACACTAACATGTACACTGATACACTAACATATACTAACACAATAACACACTAACATACACTGTGAAGCAGACTAACACACAAACACATGTTAACATGCATTAGCACGCACACTCACACAGAATAAAAACGCTAACGCATACACTGACACACACACACACACAGAGAAGAAAATATATGTCCCGTGAATTTCACCCAGTGACATCTTTAGAGACAATGAGTTTGTCACATGTGATCTTTGCATTCTGTTTACTTCCAGATAAGTTCTTGATGTTCATACCCTTAAGAAAAAGCTTTGCTGGCTGCCAGCCCCAAGTGTCTCAGCCTCTGGTCTCTCTGGTGCTGCGTTTTCTAGAGGGCTGGGGTCATGGCTTTCCGCTGGGATGGTGTGACAGGCAGAGAGCGTCAGCCTTGGAGGACTGAGAGCTGGTACAGGGTTGGGCAGGCAGACGGGTGTTTAACACGTCTCCCATCTCCATCCTGGTGTCAGTCTTTGGTCCAACTCCTTGGGCCTGTTTTGTCTTCCTCCTGCACGATGGCTGGAAGTAAGACTCAGAGCAAGACTTGCCATTGCTTTCTCCACTTTGCACCCCAGGAGTAGGCAGCCTCTCCCAGAACCACGGGGCAGGGAGGGGGTGGGCGTCCTTAGAGACGTCCTTAGAGATGGCCTGCTTTCCAGAGAATGGGCTCCTGGTTGCATCGTTTCATTTTCTTTCTGAAAAAGGAAGCTTTTGATGACCCTTCAAGAGTCATTTGAAAACTGCATTTTGATCAATGTTTTGGTTTTCAACTTGATTATTCTATAGTTTTGATTATTCATGGAGCAACCGCTGAGCAAAGAAAGTCCATATTGGTTCTCTGAGACTTCACTTGGATGAGTTGGGGCTTGCTCAGTGAACCTCACAGGGCTCACACAGGCAGACTCCCAGACAGCCTCAGTTAGTGTCACAAGCTAACCTCTTGGGTGTGGTGGCATACTCAGACCTCTTCCCAGCATATTTTTGAAACAAGCCTGGCTATCAGCGAGTGGAGGTGTGGAACTTATTCTGAGTTCACCATCTTCTTGTTTTCACAGGTAAAATCAGCCATCTTGATTGGGAGGCTCATGGGACACTGATGGACAGTACACTATTGACTTCTGAAGGAGAGTTTCCAGGTTCCTGAGCACAGAGCCAATGACTCGTAGTCACCCTTGAGGGCAGAAGTCAGGGAGCAAAGTATATGGAGGACTTTGTCCACGAAGAGGGCTGTAAAGGATCACATGTTCCTCCACGAGGGTCCCTGCACATTCTGCATCTCGGAGCCCTGTGCTGACGTCGAGTGTTCAAGTGTTTGCACATCTTCTTTGTCCCTTGAACTTGGCCGCCTTTGTCCCGTGCATCTCCCGTGACAATGCTCCTGACCCTGACTTTATACCTGTGCTGTTATTTCCTATTTTCCCCTTGTCTGCATTGTATGATGAACTCGTTGACATACTGTTAAAAAGTTCTACCCCCGACCCCAGTCAGGCCAGATTCTAGAACACCCTAAGGCAACTTCTCCTTTCTTACATGTCAAAGGAGGACCACCGAGGCAGTGCGGTCCTCTTGGGCTCCCAGGACTCCTGCTGAAGGGATCACTGTTCTTACTAGTGTGAAAAGTCGCCCAGGAGGAACCCTCGAGAGGCGTCCTCGCTCATTTTGTTTTTGCTGGGTGTGCCCCTCCTCTGCTCCCATTATTCCCCATTAAAATAGCAAATGGATATGGCGGGGAATTAGACGGCGTAAGTGTACATAAGCAATCCCCAGCCCCTCGTGTGATCATTGCTCACACTTCTGTGTGTTTGCTCAAGTCCAGCTTTCTCTATGCATGATGTACTCCACTTTAAAAATCTTACATGACGTCATCATCTGCACAGACGGCTTTGTATGGGCCTTGGCACCAACTGTTTTATTGAAGTTATTTTCTTCACAGTCTTCACAAGCATTATCAGTCATTCAGTAATATTCAAGCCTCTAGCAATTTCCATAATGTAGGTCATTGATAGCTGACTCCACCTGGCCATCAAAATGAACATCTTTGAGCATGCGTCTTCTTTCTGCATTAAAAGCATCGAGAAATCTCTCTAGGATACTAGATTCTTTGGGATATCTGTTGATTATCAAATCACTTACAAGACTTTCTTCATCAGTGTATAGAAAAATAGGAATTACTGACAATGCATAGGGCCATAAAATATGTGGGGCTCTCTCTATTAAGACATGGTATTAGATTTAGCCTTTCCGTTAGGAAGAAGCCAGCGTTCTTGTTTGGGCATTGTGGAGTGTGCAGGCATTGGTACCAACTTCCAGTGGTCATCTCTGCGAGTATCGCACTCCTCCTCCTTGAACCGGCGGCATCTGTGCTCAGAGATGTGCTAGGAGAGCAGAAGGCGCTTTAGCACTTGTGATTAGCTTTTCAGCTTCTTTATCAACCATACACTTAGCACTGGAGGAGGGACACTCAGTGGGAGGCCGGTGAGTGAATATTTAGAAGAATGACCAAAGCATCAAGCCAGATGTGTTTATTTTTATTTGGTCTGGCTGGCTATTCACACCCTGCACAGTGATAGCGGAGACCAGAGGAATAAAGGCTACCTGTTACTTAAACCCACCCTCACCTCACAGGGCTCTCATCAGGGTTTTGAAAGCAGAGAGTGGATGAGACGAATTTACATAATGAAAATGGCCGATGGGTGGAAAGTTGAGCATTTCTCTGTTAGCAAGAGCATTCCACTTCTGTTTCACCCTGATGACCAAGGTGCTTGCCATGACTGAAACCGCCGGGAGGAAGGGTCCATCCTCTCTTTAGGGATTTGCCAAAAATAAAATCTATGACAGCACACAGACTGTGTGGACATTAAGTCCCAGGCCCTTACCTTCAACTGAAGTAAGGAACCTGAATAAAAGAAGTAAATTAAATTTAAAATTCCCTGTAAGACCAAGTTAGCCTAGCCTGTCTGCCAGTCCACACTTAATGAATGTGAATCATAGTTCCATTCCATGTCTCAACTGGCTTAAGAAAACAGACTTTGCACACATTATGCTCCTATTGACCCTAAAGAAGAATTAGACAATGCTCAGAGTTTTCTCTTGTTCAGGGTGGAACTATCAAGCTTTCCAAGTGGGATCTCCACATGCTTACTCTGCAGGATGTATGCTCATATGACATTATTTCTACTGTATCTCATGAAAATATCACGTGTGTTTGGCTGTTTGTCAAATCAAAGGTGCTAGCTACATCCTTCAGCCTGGTCCTAACCATCTGTAGATTTGTGCACAACTTCAGAGAACCCTGCAACATGCCTTCAACCAATGTGAGAGAGCATTAAACTGTGAAGGAGTTGTCCTGGTCATATGTGTCATTCTAGTGAGAGTGGAAATAAAGGTCACTCACAGAGTTACAGTTGCTCCTAAAGGGACTCAGTTCAGAGTTTCGGGGCGGACAACTGGACCACTCTGGGTGCAGGAGAAGCAAGCCCCGTGGCTGCACTCGGCATCGAGGGATTTCGATCCTGCGGTAATCCTGGTAAACGTATTGACTACTTTCCCATTGCTGTGATGAAGCCCCATGATCAACGGTAACTTGCTGCGGGCATGGTGACAGGAGCAGAGAGCTGAGAGCTCACATCTTAAAACACACACACACACACACACACACACACACACACACACACACACACACACACACACACCAGAGAGAGCAAGCTAGAAGTGGCGAGGGCATTTTAATCTCAAAGCCGGCCTGTAATTTCTCCAGCAGGAGGACACCTCCTGAACCTCCCCAAACAACATCACCAGCTGCGAATCAACTACTCAAAACCACCACAGTAGGTTTTGCTTAGGCACCCATCTGTAACCTAAGGGTCTCCAGCTACTCACCCAGAGGTACCCCGTTGTGTCCCCCATGCTTTGTGAGGTTCCAGGGGTTTAGATGTAGGCTTGTCAGCAGGCTGGCAGATTACCCTGGGCTAACATGGACTCTTTCAGCCACAGCCTCACTCCACAATAGAGCCACCTGTGCCCAGTGTGGGACGAGGGTTGCTTGGTGTAGTTATGTCCCTGCTAGTGTTCCTGAGTCCTTCTGCTCCAAAGGTGCAAGTTTTTTATTTTCCATGAGAGGAATTGGGAAACGCATCTTCCCCCACCTGCTTCTTTGTGGTCTGCAGGAGACTGAGCATGTGGTTGTCATGGAGACGGTTGCTGCCTACAGCCTCTGTCTTAAAAACAAGCTGCTCAGAAGTCAGGCCCTCAGTCTGTGCTGGAACTGGGCATCTTTCTTTACCCTCTGCTCCAAGCATGAGGACATGGGACTTTATTCTCCTGAAGACAAAACATTTCAGTGTGTGGTAGCCTACCCCATTTTTCTGATCAGACACCTCTGAAATTCAGGTAGTTGGGGTCCAGCTGGGCTATGCGAAAACATCCACACCAACCGTCAGCACCAGTGCGTTTCATCAGTTTGCATTTTCCCCTAGAGAAGTCTTGGTTGTCAAGTTCCCTTTGCTCGGCATACATGGCCGTCTTTTTGTATCTCTCCTGTGATCACTTCATTGGGAAGGGAATGACTTCAAATAATAGGGAGGAATTGGCAGGCTTTGCTTCCTACCATTTTATAAACCTTTGTGGGTAGAAGAAGTGAATCTAAGACAGGGAGTCAACACCAAAAGGTGGAATATTAACTAAATGCAGGGTGGGATCGAACACAGAGAGACTGAGGATGAGGATGGGAGGATGAAGGGCTCTCCCAGGATGCAGCCTGGCTGTAGCAATGAGATTGGCTTCCTCTGAACTCCCCTCAGGGAGACCATCTGGTCTTTGCACTTGGAGTTTGCCTCAAGAAACAGGACGAGGTAGGGACAGGACATGCGTGATGGATGATGGGTAGTCACTGCTAGGTATCAGGCAGTGTGGGGCATTTGGATTCGTTGGAGAATCTTGTGAATGCAAGGAGAAGAGAAAGCAGCTGGAAAGGAATGAGTTAGAGGAATGAGCTGAGGGGAGTATGTTTAGGACCCCTCAAATTTGTGCAACAGTACAAATCTTTTCTAGAAGATGTATACAGATCTGGGCTGACCTAAAACTCAGGCTAGAGCATTTGTCCGATATGCATAATGTCCTGGGTTTGACTCCTAGCATTGTGTTTATACACTCATACATGCCCGACATATACAATGTAGTCAATCAGATCAGGAAGTCACAGAGAATCTTCTAGAACATGGGGCACATTTTGTCAGGCTGTGAGGTCCTGTATCTCCATCATGGTGAGAGACATCTTCCTAGGATTCAGGGTAGAGCCTCCCTTCTCCTCTCTCAAGCAATCAGTGACTCCCCCCCCCCCCCGACTGTGCTGCCCCGAGTCCTAATACAGGGTGTGGGGGGGACTCGGTAGCCCTGCCTTGTCTCTGTAGACTCATTGTGTGACATCCCATGGCTATCTCATGTCAAGGCAGCTGTCTGGGCATAAATGTCATGGTAGTTGCCCAAGAGCCCTCTTTCCTTGTGCTTAGCGTCATGTTTTCCCAGCAGGAGCTGACCACTGACCACCCAAGCACTCCATCCCTCAGGAAGAAGACCAAACTACTAGTGTTGAGCTTACTACTCATGGATTTTCCCTTCTATGCTTCACACCTCAGTAGATCTTCTAGAAGAAACTGTAGAGACTCACCCAATGATGGGACAAGTTGCCTTCACTGGAAGCTTCTGTGCTTGAAGAGATCATGCAAGTGCTATGTCTTGATTTGCTTGTCTGTAGAATGGCCTCCTTTCCTCAGAGGGGTGAGAGGATTTGATGTGGTAGCTGGGAGGTTCTGGGGTCTTGGCATGGCACTTTATTATAGCTCATGTTCGCATTTCTTACCTCTGCCATTCTCTACTGTTCCTCTTACCCAAAATATCTTCACCATCTTTCCTTCTGGCAAACTCGTAGGCTTCTGTCAGAGCCCCACTTGAAGGTCATGGCCTCCAGACTGCCTGCCTTGAGAGCCTCTGCTCACAGAGCAGCCCCTGGCGTTTCTGTCCTGTGGAGCGTCCCTGACTCCTCTACTCAGGTACCCACCGGTCACCCATGTTAGATGAAAACTTCAGGGCCTTGCCAGACCTATAACCCATTCCTCATCTGCCATCCTTGTTGGGATTCTATGGTTATTGGTCTCCAACATAGTCTGTTTAGAAGGCCCCCAGGTTGGGCTGTGGAGTGTTGGAGGGAGAGACCTTGTCCCAGCTGGTTCGTCTGATTCATTCTGTATGGACACTGCAGGTGCCCAGAGGGCAGTGTGGTTGAATGGCACCACTCCTCAGCATGTGCTGAGATGCCCTCCAGGCTCTTGTTCCTTCTCTTCTCTTGCCTGGTTGAAATATTTCCAGCCCTAGCTAAGCACCCCCTATTTCCTCACGCTCCCAGCCCACTGGTTCTTCCTCACAGAAGGATGGAAGCCAGTCTATAGATTCAATGACAGCCCTGGCAGCCTGTCTTGTGGTATTGTGGTTACTGCGGCAATGTTCTCTAGAACCAGTGGAAGGTGTCCTCAGAATGGGGTTTATCAGGAGGCTAAGAAGTTCCACAGTCCACCGTCTGTGGTGATTTACAGTTCCACCCCAAGTCCTGTCTTATGAACCAGGGCTGAGAGGGTTCAAGTCCCAGTCCAGGTGCCAGGAAAGGTGGGTGACACAGCTCACTATGTCCAGGTCTTCTGGGGATAGAGGAAACCTTCCACCCCAGGGAAGGAGACCTCTCCTCTGATTACAGTAACGCACACACTAATCCTATCCTGCAATACATTCTAAGATACGAAGAAATAACACCCAATCAACTGGAAACAGAAAAATCACCATCCCAGGTCTCTTTCTCCACTGGATCAGGAGCTTTTACAAGATAAAGACCTGGACTTTTTCATTCATATATTAATCCATGCATATGACACGTAAGTTGTTTGTATCGTTGTGGTTGGATACAGTCCTGAATCCATAGTGAAGAGCTGTCTACCATAGCTGTCATCCAGTCATGAGCTATGGTGGGGCTTTAGTAAAAGGGATGTGGAGGCAGAGAGGAGGCTCCCAACTAGCCCTGAGGAAGAAGGCAGGGAGACATCCAGGACCCAGGAAGGGCAGAATGGAATTTACTGAAAAGGAAGGGTTGAAGAACACAGAACACAGTGTGGCCAGTGGTTGAGAAGTCAAGCTCTTATTGTCTCGCCTGGGCTCAAAGGCCACCTCTGGAACGCTATGTAGTCCGCCTGTGTGCTATAGTGGCTATTGGAGCTTACAAGTCACTGGCAGCCTTTGCACTTTCTTGTTCTGGGCGAATGTTTCGTGATGAGAGCCTGTGCAATCAGCCTTTGAATGTCATGGGTGGTTTTTCCAGGGGCAATAAAAGCAACCGCTCAAGGAACTGTAGAGGGCACGAGGGTCCTACAGGACACAGAAGACTGTCCAATTGTGAGGTTACTCAAGCCCATCTTCTAAGCCTCAGCCTGGAATGCATTCTTCGTGCGGTAGAAGGCTTCATTAGCATATTAAAATTAACAAAACTTCAGGCCTCTACATTAAGAAAGAGTCCAATAGCACGTTTAACTTAAGAGACCAGGAGTAGCGTGTGTAAATAAAAGTAAAATTCCACTTGCTCTGGGTCTGCACTAGGTCCTCTGCATATATGCTGTGATTGTTAGCTTGAGGTTTTTGTAGGACCCCTAAAGGTGGGAATGGGGGTGTCTGTGACTCCTCTGCCTGCTCTTGGGACCCTTTTCCTCCCACTGGGTTGCTTATTCCAGCCTTGACAGGAGGGTTTGTGTCTAGTCATATTGCATCTTGTTATATTGTGTTCAGTTGGTGTTCCTGGCAGGCCTGTTCCTTTCTCAAGGGAAATGGAGGAGCAGTGGATCTGGGGTAGAGAGAAGGTGTGTGTGGGGGTACAGGGGGAGTGGAGGGAGGAGAGGCTGCAGTCATAATGTACTGTATAAGAGAATAATAAGAGAAAAAGAAGTTCCACATGCTCATTTGGCCAGTTGCTTTCAAGTAAAATCTACCACTACTAATAACAACCACAACAGTAATACTAATCAGTGTTTCCCAGTCTCTTGCTCCTCAGGGGTGAGACGTTTCTGTCCCTGTTGTCTGTGGTCCTCTCCCAGCCTCCCCTTTTCTCCTCCTTTCCTTTTACTTTGGTGCTGGCAAATGCCTGTAATGCCTCATTAATTTTTTCTTACATGAGTGAAGAATAAAGAGCCATCATCCTTTTTAGATGGATAGATGGCCCCTGTCTTCAGCTTTACTGCGTCCAACCCCTGAGATGTCTCCTTATAGAGGCAAAACCTCTGCCAAGTGCAACATCCCTGGGGCTTTCTTGATTTTGCTCTGTATGATGGCTGTTCTTGGTTGTCAACTTGACTACATCTGGAATGAACTAAAACCCAACACTGGCTGAGCACACCCATGAGGGGTTTTTGATTAATCCTTTGAAGTGAGGAGACCCACTTCTAATGCACATCTTTGAGATGGGAAGACACAGATTTAATTCAGATCATTTGAGCTGGGAAAACCCACCTCTAATGTGGGACACACATTCTGCTGAAAGCCTATATAAAAACATGAAAGAAGGAAGCTTTCTCTCTTTGCCTGCTTGCCCTTGCCTCACTAGCAAGTCCATTCCTTCACTGGCATTAAAGTCCACTTCTTCAGGATTCTGGTGTATACTAAAAACTAGCTGAGACATCCAAACTTGTGGCCTGAACAACTACTGGATTCTTGGCTTCTACTCATAGGCAGCCATTGTTGGATTAGCTGGACCACAGCTTGTAAATCATTGTAAGTCTTTCTAATAGATCATATATGTATACATTCATTCTATAAGTTGTTACTCTAGAGAACCCTGACTGCAGCTCTCCAGTATCCTTTTGGAAATAGGAAATGCACATCATAGGCAGCCAGCTGTCAGTTTTCAGATGCATTAGGCAATGTCTACATGCTTTATTCTGAGATGAGCACCCTTATTGACCTGGAAATGATGAGATTCTGGAGTTTGTGGCATGGGGACAGGAGGGGAAGGGTACTTCAGTGTCCGCAGAAAGCCTAACCTAATGGAGAACCCCCGGGCAACAGTACACAACAGCTTGTGTTCTCTGCAGAGCCCTGCCCTTCAC